GCTTCTGCACAACAGGCTCTGTCCACCTTCCGAGACGGACCAGGAAGGCAATCGTCGATGAAGACTTTGAAATCGACGTTGTCGCGTGCGTAACCTCGATGCCAGAGCTCAGCATCCGACAGATTGCCGATCAGTGCGGTCGCAGCATCGGAACAGTCACAAATGTTTTAAGAAAGCACAAGTTCCATCCATATCACGTTTACCTTCATCAGGACCTAAATGAGGCGGACTTTGAAAGGCGAGTTGACTTCTGCAATTGGGGCCTCATCAAAACTGATCAAGAAAATGACTTTTTGCACAGAATAATTTGGACTGATGAAGCTCGGTTTTGCCGAAATGGAAGTGTTAATCTTCACAACGCCCATTATTGGGCACAAGAAAACCCACACTGGCTGAGGCAGCACAAGCATCAAGTTCGCTGGAGTGTGAATGTGTGGTGCGGCATACTCGGGGACAGGATCATCGGACCTCACTTTTTTGAGGACAACTTGAACGGAAAGATGTACACAGAAGAAATATTAGGTGTTGTCATTGATGATCTTGTCTGCAGTCTTTCCCTGAATGACCTGCGCCAAGTATGGTTTCAGCACGATGGAGCACCACCACATTTTTCTACCAGGGCGAAGAACTGGTTGGACAGACGTTTTCCACAACAGTGGATTGGGCGCGCAGGAGCGATGTTTTGGCCACCAAGATCACCTGACCTTTCTCCGCTCGACTTTTTCCTTTGGGGCTACGTTAAAGATCGAGTTTACGTAACAGAGCCCAGCGATGTTAATGACATGAAGGACAGGATAACATCTGCCTGTGCGAGTATTCCTGCAGAAGTACTGCGCCGAGTCATCGAGTCGACGCGACAGCGGTTCATGCTTTGCGTTGCTGCCGAAGGCAGGCATTTTGAACACTTTTTGGGGCATTGACGTCTTGAGAGGTGAAGAGTTTCGATGAGATTTGTGCATGACCGAAATATGCTTATGTAGCAGCAGGAAATATGCGTTAGCAAGGATAAAACTGTTTCAGTTATTATTGGTGGAGTTGTTGCTCTTGTTTCAATAAAAGTTACAGTACTCGGACATCAGCAGTCACGCTATTCGCGTAGCCCAGGCAACGACCACGCATGCTTCTCTAGTGATTATTACGCACGCGCACTGGCATCCAGATTCTCCGCTCGCACCATTATCTCGGCATGGTATCTGCCACTATCGTTAGAGGCTCTGCAGTTGCGTGTTACGACACTGGTTGCAAGCGTTCTTCGATTTTTGATTTCGACGGCCGAAGAGGGCAAGGGTAATTGCTATCACCTATGCCTACGCTTCCACCCTCTTCACACACTAAACACCACACGCAACAGATGCGTCACTTTAGGGAGGAGCTTTGCGCGGACCCTCACCCTCTTGCATGCGTAATCGTGCGAAAGACAATTAAACTTTGGAGCCGGATATCTCGGAACACAGGCGTGCTAGAAAAAATCTTCCAACTGAAACTGTGTACAAACACCACTGCCTACATTTTTTCAATATAAACATGCCAACTTACCGCAGCCAGTAAAAAGTTAATTATTAAATTTTAGTTAATTGGGCTGCTGACAGCGATAATTATCATCTAACTTTCTGTCCCCCTGGCCGCTTAACTTATTTGCACAAGTGGTTCTCACGTGCCTTCGAGCGCCTAATTTTAAAAAAATCATAAAGCTTAATTTTGAACACCCGGTATATAGATAAGTATACATATACGGTGCATGACATCGACGTCGGTGGCAAAATCCCGCCGAGAGTGTTCATATAACTGCTATCGCAATAAAAGTATCGTAACACAGCTTAAAACGTTGGAGTATTTGTTTACTTGTGCTGTAAGTACTTCATGAAAATAAAAGCACCAGTATTTATATTTTATCCTACTATGCCTCATGTTCTCGAAACCATGTATGGCTTTACCACAGCCCGAACGTGTCCTGCATGAGACCTAGGAAGTCTAGTATAGGTCTAATAAGGTCTACGACCAGTAGCTGAAATTGTTTACAGTGTGTATTGAATAGTACTTCAAGTGAATCAATATAAAGGCACCTTGTGTGTTACAGTTTCTTTCTGTCCTCGTCATAGCAATTGCTCGTCTCATATAAAGAGTCAGCATTATGGAGTCTCTGCAGTTATACAAAACACTAATTTTTTTTAAGACGACAACGGTAAGGAGCTCGTTTCGCAGAATTTCAGCCTTGTGAGCGAAAAGGCAGCGTTGGTCGTAAGCGAAAATTTGAGGTATATGTAATGAAGATAGGAGGAGCGTTTTGGCTTGCGTGCGCGCGTGCGTGCACACACGTATTTGTGTGTGTGTGTGTGTGTGTGTGTGTGTGTGTGTGTGTGTGTGTGTGTGTGTGTGTGTGTGTGTGTGTGTGTGTGTGTGTGTGTGTGTGATTTTTGTACATGCACTATATGCATAATATAGGTCCACTAACTTATGCCTAAATTTCTATGAAAGCGCCACCTAACTCGTCAGAATCAGGTTATTGTTGCGTGCTTTCCCTTGTAGCAAGCATATACTATATATTCAACAATAACAAAGTGTTTTTCCTCCTCGAGATCAGCTTTTTGTTTAACTTATTGCAAAAATAGTCAATATAATTAACTTCTCAAGTATCTTATTAGAAATGTGTCTGATAAATTTTAGGTAATTCCGAAAAACAAAAGACCTATAGAGCTTTATGCTGCTCTATACGTGCTACAGAAGTGTTCTTTCCAAGTCTGAAAGAAATCGCTCAACGCAGGGACGTGACCTCCGTGATCAGCTCTAGCAGCGCGTCGTTGGAGCTAATCCATCGGACGTGCCACGCAGAAGCGTATTATTTTACTTTTGCACCAGTTACGAAGGGCAGCTGGTAGAAAACACGCAATATATATATGTATATATATATATATATATATATATATATATATATATATATATATATATATATATATATATATATATATATATATTCATGCTTCATATGTGTATAATGTGAGCTCAGCTGCATAGCAGTCCAAAAAATCTCACAACTCTCAAGACACAAGTGCGAACGAAACATCGTGATCACTTCAGAGTGAGCTTTACATCGAGGGCTACTCCAACCTTCCTCTTCAAGTAAGTGCAAACCTAGACTGTTTTTTGCAGAGAGACACCCGAGAAATGTGCATGCAGTGAGTTGCATTTGCGAGTGTTGAACTGTGGCAATAATCAGTAGCTGAGCCTTGATGTGTCATATTTTTATTACAAAACCACTTACAAAATAAGTGTACACAATCACAAAAACTTACAGTAAATGTGATATCTAAACTGCATAAGCAGCTTATAACAAACAACGCAAAACCACAAGCTTTATGCAAAGTAGGGGAAGCCGATCAGACGGAGCATTATATCTACCCAATGGTTGGTTCTTTTTTCTTTTCCTTTTTTATCGCAATTATAATGTTTGGTAATCTCATCCTTAAATTATTTGATTATGAGAACGCTGCCACACTAGTCGTCGGGCGACCTTTGTGATGATTTTAAGACAAAGGCTTTAGCTTTGAATGTGCGACCTAGACTAAAACAAAGTTTGATTACACGCTGGTTTCGTCATTTCGTTTCAAAGAAACCAAACACAACACGACCGAAATTGAGCAATAACCAACACGGCGCAGTCAAAAGCACTCCGCCGAAAGGATTATTCACCTCCTGACAACGACAACGTTTGTGGAAGTACAGTCGACACATCATTCAACCTTCTTATTATAGCACGCAATGTAAATTGGGTCATTTATAAGTGCCGCATCTCTTGTGGGCTATAATTACTTTTTACCTCGGCCGCTTAGTAATTGCTTGCACCGACATAACCTCTTAATGCAGACATTGCGATGCTGCATTACAAAAATTCATTATTGTGAAAGTCGGCTGTGGATTTGCGCTTAACTATCCCGCGCTTAAACATTTCATCACTCAGACGGAAAACGTAAATTAACGCACATATACGTTTTTATAATATATATACTTTTATATTTCTCCAAAAGAAAACTGTATTCACTGTCAATTAACAGTAAATGATTGTGGTTTTCCAAATATGCAATTAATACCAAACATTGAGGATTGTAGTTTTGTGCATCTAAACTTAAGAGGCTTGAACTACCAGGCACACATAACGCAAAGCAAGTGAAAGAACGTAGGCATGGAGCGTGCTTTGGAAACGTGCAGCTCTCTAAGGGTACCGACAACCACTTGGCTAAGCTAGGGAGTGAGAATCGGAATCGAGAAAGGCGAACCGAAAAAAGAATATCCGGTTCGCTACTCTGCACTGGGAAAGTGAAAAAGGGAGACACAAAATTGAAGAAGATAAGTATAAAAGAGGGAGGAAGATAAGTCCAAACACACACAAACAAGCTTAAAAGATTATAATCTTAAGCCCTGTATTGAACACACAAAACCGTAAGTGGGACATTTATGAAGTGCGCAATACTGCTGGCCTAGAGTCTTGGTGAGACTCTCTTCAGAGTAGTTTAATTTTTTAAAAAATTCCGCCATATCCACGAAGTGAATGATGATGAGTGGGCGAAGCTCCGGAGGTAAACCTGGTAAACCATGAATCCTCTGTACATTTTGCCCACTCGATTTTATTACATCGCTCCCCCTAGCGTACGTCGCCGCACTAAATCGAACGATTGCCTTCAACCAATGACACGCGCCATATGTGACATCATTCCTATTTTATAAGATCTCGCGTCTTTCATCAACTACAAGTACCGCTTTCTAGTTTATAACATCTTTCATCTTTTCATCATCAGCTACAAGTACCACCATCTAGTAAACACTACAAGAACTAAACGAGAGGTGGCTACATACAGGAGACGGTACCGCCATCTAGTGAACACTGCAAGAACTAAACTAGAGGTGGCTACATACAGGGGACGGTACCGCCATCTAGTGAACACTGCAAGAACTAAACTAGAGGTGGCTACATACAGGCTACAGGGGACGCACAGCCCACGCCCTAAGGAGCTTCGCCCCTAAAAAAAACTGTTTCGGATGCTTATTGCTGCAGTGCCATTTGGAGTTGCAACCAAAATAGGTCTTGTAAGCGTTCATCACTTTCACTTTCGGGCGCACCAATGTACGTCCTCGAAGACGTCAAGTACGACAGCGTGGGACACATTTGGGACTCGTCGATGGGTCCCTTCCTGATGAGCACGATGTGCTCGTCCCTATCCGACTCGAACAGGCGATGCTGCGCGAGCATCATCTCGAACATGCACCAGCGACTTCGACAGAACTCGGAACTCAACACGAACAGTGACACGCGACTCTGCGAGATGCAGCGACAGATGTTCTCGGTTATGGGAATCCCCGGAATGAAGTCGCGCTCGGCGATGCAAACGCGGTACCGCATGGGCGGAGACTCGAGTCTCGCTAGGAGAACTTCGGTGGTCCAAATCGCGTCGGAGACGTGGTAGCACAAGAAGGCGTCCCACATGAAACGGCCGCAGTGCAACTGGCGTTTGTAGTTCTTTATCTTTACGCGCAAGCACAAGAGCGCGTACATCATGTACCAGCGCTTCGCGTACAGTCCGTAGCTGATGACGGTGGCGGCGAGTGCGGTGAAAAGTAACGGAACCCACACTGCCGTGTAAAAGTCCGTCGGACCGCAGACGCCGACGTCCCATTCGACGTCGATTGCGCGCAGACCGACGTATCTCTCCGGTTCTTTGCAAACCACCGAGTTGGCGCCGAGTCTCGCGCTGCTGTTTAGGAGATCGTGTAGATTATTCAACGAGCAGCTACCGCAGTCCCACGGGTTATCTGAAATATTGACCGTCTTCACGTGCCGAATATCCCTAAGCGCGCCGTTATCTATCGTGTAAACTAAGTTCGATGACAGCACGAGCGTAAGCAAGCCGCCCATCGCGGAAAAAAATGGCGGCGACCATTCGGAAATGCTGTTGTGTGACAAGTCCAGGAACCTTACGGACGCCGCGTGGGTGGAGAGATGTTCGAGGTTCTTAACCTCGTTGAAGGACACATCCAATGACACGAGCGACGTGAGATGTCTGAATATCGCCGCGCCGGAAACAGTGCCGATGCGATTGTGGCTCAGGTTAAGGATTTCCAAGCGCATTAAGCCCAAGAAGGCCTCTTCACCAATTGTCGCGATTTCATTTGACTGCATGTCCAGTTCACGAAGATGTTGCAGGCACACGAAGGGGGAACCGTACAACTGTTTGATCGAACAACCGCCCAAGTCGAGAAGCTGCAAGTTACGAAACGCGCAGAAAACGCCGTCGCGTAGGTCCTGCAGTCTCGTAGTGCCGGCCAAGATCAGTTCCCTGAGGGAGCTCGACTGCCTGCATATACCCGGGCAAATGAGGAACGTCCCATTCGGTGACGTCACTGTAGCCGCCATATTTAAGCGACGAAGTTTCTTCAAGTTGTACACACTTTCGGGGACGGAAGCTAGCTGGGTTCCAACTAGGGAAATGCTCTCAATATGGGGTATCAGGTCAAATGCGTTGATATGCACGCGAGTGATTGGAACATGGACGAAATCCAGCTGCTTCAGATAGGGCATGAGCGGTATGGCCTCCTTGCTCCCTACGTGATCGAAGTTGCACTTGTACAGAACAAGGCGCGCTATCCGAAATGGCGTAATAATCTTTAAAGCGGACGGAATGCTCTTGACGCGTCCAGACAACGTGACGTTTATTTTTGACGTGACGGCATTCTGCGCGTTCCAACGGAAAATCAGCACTAGAGTCAGCCCGATATCGGGAAATTTCTCGAATATGGCGGGTAAGCTGTCGTTGCTTACGAAGCGCCCCTTGAAACCGTAGACATCGCAGCGAAGTTGGGCGTCCCCCTGCGTTTTCGAGCAGTTCGCGACGGCGATTTTTAGCGGCTTTTCAAACGTCACACTGAACTCCACCTGCCTGACGAAGCACATGAAGGAATACAAGGCGAGCTGTTCCAGCAAGGTGCTCGCGTTGACTCTGAAGACGTCATAGTTGCTTTGCAGGGTGAGCGGGAAATCGTCCCATTTCTTTATGTCCACCCGCGTGAGGGACAGGGCGGCGAGCTTCCCGTCTTTGGGCGGGGCGTCAGAGACGAGAAGTTCGTCCATCGTCATCACCTCGGGGTCCGAAGGTATGAAATACAGCTGCGGCGCCGCTTTGATGAGGATCTTGCACAGGACCCCCACTCGGCCGTCCTTCTGCAGAGACGCATTACAGTGATGCAGCGGTAGCAACTCTGGCAGACATTCCCGTCCCTCCGCAGGCTCGCAAGGTAGATCCCCGCCTCTCCAAGTCGCAACAGCAGAAGCGAGGATGGTGCATACGCAGAGCATCACCCTACGTGACAGTGGATGGGCGAATGTTACAAAATAGCTGTGGGCTATAATAGAGGGTATCGCATTATGGCATAGAACGTTGAGCGTGAATAAACGACATAGGACAAAGAAGGGAAAACACGATTAAGTGCTCGCTCACAACTGAGTGTTTCGTATACGAGAGAAATCAGAGATATAAACGACAGCGCATCGCACATGTCACAAGGAGATAGAAGGCATACACCCAAGGCACGTGTTGAACGTCGGTTAATAAAACTGAATTCAATGTAATGCCGTGAGAAAGTCGGTTGGCTTACACTTATTGCGGCGCGCCCTGTGACGTAATATGCCTCCGTTGTTTATGTCTATTCGAAGTTTTAATTGTGAACTTAGCTTTCATACCTCGAGTTTCGGGACAGGCGCACATCCCGCGCCATACCTCAAGGTTGTGACAGTGGCATCGTGCCGTATGTGAACGGGAAACAATATCCGACGAACCAAACAGCTATCGAAATTGGCTTCCCGGTTATATATACGCCGAATACCTACCGAAGCGCTACGGTAAACATGCAGTATAGTGTGACCAAGCATGCAAATTTCCAAAAGCTCTGGCGTAACCAGAAATGGATTCATATACCACCATGATATCTTTTTAATTTGGTATATGCAATATATACATGCGAACATGCAAACGGACCAACGACCATACAAAGCGTATGATTGAACCCCCCACGCCCCCTATACCCTCTACACTCTCCTTCTCAAAATATTTCCGAGTTGATAGACTTTTCTGCCTATACAAGAACACCGCCCGCACTATACGGTCTCAATACTTACACAAGATCCAGGGACGATTGCTGATGTTCGGTCATCCTTCTTCGTTGTTCTCGTCGAGAACACACAATATGCTCTGCAGGAACGCGACGATGAAATAATGGGCGCGTATACCACGGCTTCCCCGCCTTACGCGTTTTCTTCAAGAGGCGGAAGTGAACGGCGAAAAACTGAGAAGGCTGCGCGCAATCTATAGCGCGATTACGCTGCAGCTTCCTTCCGCGATGGTGTTTGTTAAGGCCGATGTTCTCGCTGCCACAAACGCGAGCCCTTGCTACCCACATGTAGGAGAGGCTTGGGGTCCGCCACGGTGGGTCAAAGGCTGTGGTGCTCTGCTACTGACCCGAAGGTAGCAGGTTCGATTCCGGCAGTGGCGGTATAGTATTTCGATGGAGGCGAAAGGGCAGAGGCATGTGCTCTGTGCGATGTTAGTGCACATTAAAGAACAGCAGATGGTAAAATTTCCGGAGCCGTCCACTAAAGCGTATCTCATAATAACGTAACAATATGATGATTTTGGGACATAAACGGATTATTATTGTTGTTGTTGTTGTTGTTGTTGTTGTTGTTGTTGTTGTTGTTGTTGTTGTTGTTGTTGTTGTTGTTGTTGTTGTTGTTGTTGTTGTTGTTGTTGTTGTTGTTGTTGTTGTTGTTGTTGTTGTTGTTGTTGTTTCAACTGAGTTTTAGAAGTATGTGCGCAAGCGGTCTAGCAAAAGTGGGAAGTCCTTCAGGCTACTGAACTCGGACGGTGTCGAAGTTCATGCCATCGCTGACTGTTTTACCATGCATTTTTCATTCGTTTATAAGGCCTCAGACTCTAGGACTCGGATAGTACAACAGCCCAAGGCAGTTAGCGCATCTAGTGGTCGAATTAACGCTGGATGGAAAGCTCATCTGCTCATGCATTAAGCGCTTAAATTCGTTCTAATCATGTGGCCCGAAATTGCGTCCCCTCCGCCATACTAAAGGCTTATGGTAGTAAATTTGCCCCAGTAACGACTACAATATTTAACAACTATTTGAACGCGTCCACATTTCCCAGCATGTGCAAAACTGCGCGTATTTTTCCAATATTTAAGTAGGGCGGCAAGACTCGTGTTTATAATTATCGTCCGATTTTTCTACTGTGTGCCACATGTGTGCTCACTGCCATAAGAGATGATGACATAAACGTTGTCACTGTAACTGTTCCGGACCTAGCCGAAGTCTCACGGTTACCCGGTTCTGCCAAGGCCATCTTTCGAAATATGATTGGACCAGACCTTTCGCCTGATCAGGCCGACGCTCTCTGCCGTGTTTTGGCCTCCTACGGTGAAATTTTTTATATCTATGATCATCCCTTGAGCCAGACTAATATTGTAAAGCACCGAATCAACACTGGTGACTCCGCGCCCATTCACCGTCGGCTTTACCGCGTGTCCGCATCAGAACGAGCAGTCATTCAGAAGGAAGTGGGCAACATGCTATCTACAGACATCATCGAACCATCGTCCAGCCTTTGGGCCTCCCTATAGTGGTCTTGGTAAAGGAAAAAGACGGCTCCTGGCGTTTCTGTATTGATTATCGGCACCTCAACAAAATAACCAAGAAAGGCGTGTATCCTCTTCCACGTATTGAGGACGCACTTGACTGTCTTCATGGTGCCACCTTTCTTTCATCTCTCGACCTCCGATCTGGCTACTGGCAAATTGCTGTAGACGAAATGATCGTGAGAAAACTGCATTCGTTACCACCGACGGCCTTTACCAATTGAAGGTCATGCCGTTTGGTCTCTGCAACGCCCCAGCAATTTTCGAGAGAATGATGGACACGCTGCTTCAAGGATTTAAATGGGCGACGTGCTTGTGTTGCTTAAATGACGTGATAATCTTCTCACCCACCTTCGCCACACACCTTGAACGCCTTCCGACCATTTTATCAACATTCCGACATGCCGGCCTCCGGCTGAATTCCTCGAAGTGCCGCTTCGGTCTTCGTCAAATTACTGTGTTGGGCCACCTTGTTGACGCATCGAAGATCTTTGAGCTTCCTCTTCACAAAATATTGTATGTTAGTGTGAATAATTCATTGATTCCTAATCAACACTGGCTTCTCCCTGGCCGCTCAACTACCACAAATCTTGCTAGTTTCATGACGCAAATCTCTTCACCTATTTCTCAAAGAGGACAAGTTGGCGTAGTCTACTGCTATTTGAGCAAGGGTTTTTTACGTCGTCACCCACTCACTGTTTTTGGTTAAGCTTGCAAACTTCGATGTTGACTCGTCTGTTGTGAATCTCCTGCACAGCTATCTGCTTAGCCGATCCTGTTATGTTGCCGTGAATGGCCAAACTTCTTCCTTGTACAAAGTAACTAGTGGAGTCCCTCAGGGGTCGGTATTAGGCCCACTGTTATATTTAATTTACGTTAACAATGTTTCTTTTTCAATTCGTTATTCGTCTTTTCTCTTGCATGCTGGTGACATTCAGATATTTAAGGAAGCTCATTCAGTTAACGACTGTCGCTATATATACTGCAGTCAGATTCGTGTTCTTTATCCGAATGGCGTGATAAAAATAATCTTTGTCTGAATACCTCAAAGACCAAATTCATGAGCACATTTCGCCAAACATCCATTGTGTCATTTCCATACTCTATCAATACGATGTCCTTATGTAAGGTATATGAATCCAGTGATCATGGTCTTCTTTATGATACCATGATAAATTTTTCTGGTCACACTAAACGTGCCGCCATGTGTTGCCTTTGATCTCGCGGCTGCATTTGTAGAATATCTCAAGAATTCAGTTCTCCTGCAGCCATCCACGAATTGTACACCGCCATATGTCTTCCTAAACTTGAATATGCATCTGTGATCTGAAATGGCATTGCTAAATCTGGCAGTGACGCCACTGAGCGAGTCCAGAAAAAAAATGATAAGCAATTACAATCATCGTTTCGCTTTAAATGACTCTGGGTCTCGTTCCAAAACTGCCATATTATTATCATCGCCATTACTTCACTGACAACGACATT